CCAGCCTCCCCAGGGAGAAGGGGCCCCTCTGGGGCAGGGCTGAGGCCGCTGGGCTGGGCGTGAAGCAAATGCCGCCCACCCCCTCCATCTGGCGCGGAGGGCTGCTGCGGTGCGGTTCCTCCTCCTGCTCGTGGGGCTTTGTTCACTGTCCCCCCCCGCCTCCTCCCCGCTCCCCAGGCGGTCCCCGCAGCCTTCCTGGGGTCCTGCTCCCTCTCGGAGGGGCGGCAGCAGCTGCTGGTTTCCTGCTGTGGTTGGGAGCCCGTGGGTCCGCGCAGAGCTGGCACCCAGCCCCGCTGCTGGGCGGCTGCCGGTGGGACCTCCGCCCTTCCCGGGGCACCCTCCCGGTCCCACTCCCAGGGGCCTGGGGATGCTGGGCTCCTCGCAGCTGCCATCGCTGCATCCCGGCTCTGGGGAGCAGGTTGCAGCTGGAACCTGGTCCCCCACCGCATGCCCTGCCTGTTGTGTCCAGGGTGCGAAGATGCAGCAAACCCTCCACCTGGCTGCTGGCAGCCTGCAGCAGCCACGGGCCTCCCTGCACTCCCTCGGCTGGGTCTGAACAAGCAGGCGCTTGTTTGCCTGCCCTCTCCTTCCTAGCAGAGCTGGCTGGCACGTTAACCCTTCCCTTCCATCTCCTTCCCTGCCGGGTGGGAGAGCTTCAGAGAAGCAAAGTTGGGCGACGTCAGAATTGCAACCCTAATTCATGGATTACATAGGAAACCAGGAGCAATGATCATGCGTGAAACACTTCCAGGCAACGAGCTCAAAGTGCTGAGCTGGCGCTGCTGAAGGACTTGATGGTATAGAAAAACATATTTTGGGCAGGGGATTTAATAACAGCCTTTAACAAAGAGGGAGAGGCTGAGATCTGAGTTCCACTCTCATGAAATCCAGACAGAGGGATCATTAAATTTATTTTTAGGCTTGGCTGAGTAATCAGGAGGTTTGAAGATTTGCCTTCTCTGTTCCACTTGTTTTAGGAGGGGCTGTGCTGGCATAGCTGGCATCAAAAGTGCACCGGATTATCAGAAGCAGCACCTCTCTGTCACTTCCAGGGACGTACCTCTGCGACCAGAGCATTTTGTTTGCTTTTTTCCCACAGCCCAGGGCAGCCACACATGGCACTGCTTGGGCTGGTCACACACTTCCAGGTGGGAGAACATGGCTGCCAGAAGAGCCCAGACCTTCCTCCCGCATAACCCTCTTCTCCCTCGGTCCCTCCCGCCGGCGCGGGCTCCCGTGCTCTCCCCTGCATTCCGTTTTGCAGCGCCCTGGCTCTGGCCTTCCCACCCAAAGGGCCTTCTGGCAGCAGAAGCTGCAGCTGGAAATTGAAGCGTGGGCCAGTTTTCCCGAGGAATTCAAAATGCCGGCTGCAAGGGGC